AGAGGAGGTGAGGGGAGCGGAGCGGAGAGGAGAGGAGAGGAGAGGAAGGGAGGGGAGGAGAGGAGAGGAAGGGAGAGGAGGAGAGAGGAGAAGAGGAGAGAGGAAAGGAGGGAGGCTGACGATGGTAGCAGAGCTGGAGGGAAAACGTTGGTGGAAGCAACTGCAGGAGGCGCTGGGGGCGGCGCGGGAGGCGGGGAGGAAAGCGCTTGAACTGTGGGCGAAGGAGAAAGTACAGGAGGTGAGATGTGATGAGTCGAAGGGAGGAGAAAGTGACAGAACGTTAGATGTCGTCGTTTCCTTCGGCTGCTGTGTGAGGCTTGCATAGGAAGGAGAAGGGGGAGGAGGAGGGGGAGCAGGGAGGAGGATGGAGATGATTACGATAGAAATCTGGAGTGATGAATGTTTGATGAAATTAATGCTTATGTAAACTTTGTTGTATTGAATGAAGTGAAACAACAAGATGTTGTACACGGATGTTTTCATATCATAGACTACAGGAAAAACGATGAAAACATGCAAGAATTCGAGCAACCGGAAAATTGCAAAGAGACCGAGAAAATGATGCAGCACTACCGAGAGGTTTCAGTAGAAAAATCCTCCTCCTCCTCCTCCTGACGAGCTCATTTGTCCTAAGGCAAGTTTGATTTGGAGGGCTGAATAATCTTTCCCTGTCCTTCGACATCCAACGAGAGAGGAAGAGAAGAGGAGGAGAGAGGAGGAGTAGGAGGAGAATTCTTCTTCCAGTATCGCGTGATGGTTTCACCAGCGAGGATGGCGTAGAGGGTGAACATGGCGAAACTGATCCAGTAGCGAGGAAGAGGCTGAGGGAGGAAAGCTGAGGAGAGCATGTCGTAAGCTGGCTCCAGAATCATCTGAGAGACTCCAGCTACCTGTAATGTTGACATAAGATGTTGGAAAAAGAGGAGGAGGAAGAGCAGGAGCAGGAGCAGCAGGAGCAGCAGGAGCAGCAGGAGGAAAAAAGAACGGAGGAAGGAGAAAGAAAAGGAGCAGAGGGAGAGGCGAGGAGGAGGAAGTGGTAGAAGATGAGGAGGATGAAGGAGGAGGATGCAGGTAGTCAGGGGGTCTCTTACAGTGTACAAGAGGCCCGAAAAGGTTCCTAGGAGGTGAGGAGGAGCGTATAGCATGGCAATACGCATGACCAGCACATCCCAGAAGTCGTAGAGGAGAGACAACTGAGCTTGTGACAAGATCTGCAGTGAACGTCAGCCTGCTGTTTCTCCTGCTCCTGCTCCTGCTCCTGCTCCTGCTCCTGCTCCTGCTCCTCTTCCTTCTGCTGCTGCTGCTGCTGCTGGTCCTACCTGGCAGCTCTCGTAAGGGCAGAAGAGGAGAAGGGAGAAAGCAAGAATCATGAGCTGCATCCAAGACAAGAACCGTTCGATCCCGATCTGCGAGTGAAGAAGATCAGTTCAGATCCCCTCCTCTCCCTCCCTTGCACTCCCTTGCTCGCCCCCTTGCTGCTTGCTCCTCTCCTCAACCATCACTCCTTCGCCCCCTCCCTCGCTGCATTTCACACTCCTTCCTGTCCGTTTGCCCCTGCCTGCCTGCATGCCTGCCTGCCTGCCTGCCTGCCTGCCTGCCTGCCTCCCTCACCTCATCGCACACGTATCCTCCAAACACAGCAAACAAGAAACCAGAGACGCCGAAGTTGATGGCGAAGATGTCAACCAGCCAAGTTGCCCTTCGAGCTCCAAACAGTTGCTGCAAAAGTTTGTCAGACAATCAGTTTCACATTTCAACGACGCACCTCGTAGTAGTAGAACTGCTGAATCAGCACATAGCTGAGCAAAAAATTCACCAGGAAGATGTAGTTGAGGAAGATCAGGTTGGTCTGAAAAGCATTTCAGCATCAAACTCTCCTTTCCTTTCCTTTCCTTTCCTTTCCTTTCCTTTCCTTTCCTTTCCTTTGATCTACTCTGCTCTGCTCTGCTCTGCTCTGCTCTGCTCTGCTCTGCTCTGCTCTGCTCTGCTCTGCTCTGCTCTGCTCTGCTCTGCTCTGCTTTCTTACCTTGATGTTCTTCTGGAAAACATCGATGCACTGTCGGAAGATCTCGACCTCGTCGTTGTCCTCTCCCATGCTCTCAACCTCTGCAATTGCGCTTTCAGAGGTCACCCTCCCTTCCTGCACTGCCTCCCTAGCGCAGCTCTTGACCTCCTCCATCGAGGGGACGATATGAAACGCCAGGAAGCTCGTGCTCAAGCACAGGATCCCAAGAGCCATCAAGAAAGTCTCCAGGGGCATCTCATACTGTCTGTGCAGGAAGACTGCAGTAACAACTATCACCTCCGACAACGCCGTCACAGCGTCAGCAAGCGAGGCCACGAGGTTCGGGTGCTCAGGGAAGTGCCAGAGGAAGGAGTAGATGCCGTACACGTTCATGCTCCCTCCTATGTTGGTGATGGGATAGGCTGCGTACAGTAACCAGTTCCATCCCGGAAAGCTGACTGAAAGCGCCATGAGCATCAACCCTACCCCCGTCACTACCGCACCCCAGAAGACGCTAGACGCTCCTCCATACCTGTCGAAGAACATGCCGAAGAAGAGGGAACCTCCTATGCCAGCTCCGTTGCTGATGGCATAGATATGATCTAGCTGCTCCCGTTGATCCTCCCCAAAGAACACCCGCCTCTGGATCAGCATGGGCTCCAAGGTTGACCAACAGTTGACTGGCCCGGCCGAGATGAAGCAGAGAATGCAGAGGAAGATCAGTCTGAGCATGTTCTTGTGGTTCTTTTGTTCGCATCCTCCTCCTCCCCCTCCTCCCTGTAGCAATGGAGTCGCTTCCTCCGCCATCTCTCCGACAACTTGACTACAATACTTCACAACTTCCAACATTTACCCATCACCTCGAGCTCGACAGATTATAGACCCCTATATTAAGGGTTCAAATAACCCCCTTGATAACTATTTTGAGTACCCCACCCACTTTTTCCTACTTTCAATTGACTATAATGGTTGCAATGTTTCCCCAACTCGTAGATTTTCCATCGAAAAAAAATTCAGGTACCCCACCCTGCAGGAGTGCTTTTCTTAAGGAATCACCCCCCACCCTCTTTCCATACTACCCTACCTAATAAAGGTTTTTCTTTGAAGTACTATACCCTTACCTTATCACACAGAAATTCCCTAATTGAAACCCCTTTTCACAAGGTCATTTTGAGAATACCCCCTCCTTTACATACCCCACCCCACAATATCGAACCCTACCCCACATGCTAAAGGAACGACGACAGAACAAACTCAGATGAAACTACTCCACCCCATATTCGTACCCACCCCACCATCTCGAACTTTGACCCCTCTTTATAACTTCATATTACCCACCATTTCCACCTGTCTTGAAACATCCCTACCCCCCTGAAAAAGAATCTATCACACCCCACCCCCATTCCCAGACGAGCAGGGGGGGTGCTGCAATTATCAAACAATCTCCTCCTCTCCTTGTACTGTGTCCCTGTCCCTGTCCCTGTCCCTGTCCCCGTCCCCGTCCCTGTCCCTGTCCCCGTCCCCGTCCCCCTCCCTCCCTCCATCGTTCCCATCCCCCCCTCCCTTCGTCTCAGTCTCGCAACCTCTCTACCTTTTCTCTACCTCCTTAGAGCTCATTCTTGATACGTATATGTGCTCATAGAGGCCGGAAATTGAAGACACTCAAGTCAATGTTTGCATGCTTTAGAGTTCATAATAAGAAAATCTCTTTGTAAACTGTTTCACCTTTATTTTTTTTACGAGAAATCTTTCAAGTTATCCCCGATTTATTGTTCGTTAACAACATCCCAACGCGGGTGCTTGTATACTCTCAAGTTTGTTGGATCAGGTCGTTTCTTGATCTCTTCCAAGTTATCTTACAGAATGACAATAAACTTCATATGAAATCAATCGCGTCTTTCGTCCATTCTGCTGAACGACCAGCCTGTTGTTGACCTGTTTTTCTCCTTTCTTGGCTCATATGGACTGAGAGTGGAGCTGGATGGAGTGAAGACATGGGTGGGATGTAATTTTGTAACCGGCACGATAGGGGCTTTGTTCATGTGACATCCAATGTATCACGTTCGTGAAGGTTGTGAGGGCGGACGCGATTGGAGAATGACACGCATTCCAGAAGACCGATGCTCTCTGGACATCTCAACAGATATCGTCCCTCTCCTCCTGGCCGGGTGTAGGTGTGACATGCTACCATGGAAACATTGAGAGGTTTTCTGCTCTGAAATCTATTAACATCACTCACACTTTGATACATTTCTATCAGTCCTATTTTACATGTGCACGCTGTCTCCCAGCGAATTTTTGAATGCATTCTTGCTCGTGATCATGTCGATTGCATGTCGTAGAGCATTCATCTGTCTGAGTCGAAGAGAAGGAATGGTTTTGTCGGACTTGTGTTGGGATTTTCCTTCATTGCAAGTCTTGATAGGAGGGAGAATGTCTTGAGTGTGTGAAAGCTTCATGTTCATGTCTGCAATGTCCTCAAGAGAATTTCCTGCTCGGGTCGAGGATGCTAGGGCAAATTGAGGCGGATCGTGACTGCCGTGACAGAGAGCCGGTGCAGAGGAAGGCAAGAGCAGGACGGAGGGAGCGGGACGGAGGTGGGTGAGGACGGTGAGGACGGTGAGGACGGTGAGGACGGTGAGGACGGTGAGGACGGTGGGGAGAAGAAGGATGGATGGAGGTCGAGGAGGAAGTCGAGGAAGTAGGGAGGGAGGGAGGGAGGGGGCGAATAAACGAGGGCGCAAAGGAGTCGAGGGGAGCACGAGTTAAAAGGGCACGAGCACACTAGCAGGAGAAAAGGCCAAGAGGTCCCGTTCCATGACCTCTCACCCCTCATTGTAAAATGAAATACATGGGTGGGGGGTACAGCAAAGGGGTCGAAGGGTGACGGTTACCTGATCGTTCCTGAAAGAACTTCCTTTCGTGAACGCGTTTCGAAAAGCATGGGGGTGGGTAATACTGTACCCCTGTATTCCCAGTCAATGAGGGGGAAAAGATGGGTAGGGTGCCTTCCATCTTTGTCAGGTGGGGTGGTGTAAAGCAGTGATAGGAGGGGTAGCGAAGGGGGTTAAAAAGGGGTGGTGGTGATCTTGTGTAGGTCAACTCAGGTTCCAAAAAAAATTCTTGCACAGTATTGAAATCGAGCTTTTTCGAGAATGTAGCTTTAAGTCCTGATCCCCTCTCCCTGTAAGGCTTCCTGTTCCTTATCGATGCCTCCCTGTGTCCGCTCCCATCCTCCTCGTTCCTCCTCCTCCTCGTTCCTCGTTCCTCCTCGCTCCTGCTCGTTCCTCCTCGTTCCTCCTCCTGCTCGTTCCTCCTCTCCTTCGTTTCTCCTCCTCCTCCTCGTTCCTCCTCCACCTGTTTTTCTCCTCCCATTCCACACAAGACTCGCCATCGTGTTCATCTTGCCTCATGTTCCTCTCCCATCAGCTCTGAAAAATCTCTTCTTCATCCTTGCCCATTATTGACAGGCACTTTCGCTTCTGTGTCAGTCCTGGCTTTCCCGCTCTCACCATGCATTTTCATCTCTGCCATTCCAAGAACATCTCTATCTCTCCTCTCGTATCCGAAATCCCGTCAGCTGATCTGAGCCCCCGCCATGAAGAAGAATGCAGAGGACTGTTCTTCTCTACGTGTTCGTCCTCCTCTTCGTCCTCGTCCTCGTCTGCGCCGGGCTCGCCCTCGCGGCTGCAGCAGATCGCTGCGCTGCAAGACGCCATGGACATCATCGTGAACAAGCGGACGTACAGGAACTCGATCGGAGAGGAGGTGCAGATGTGACTACAGGAAGTTCTTGTCGTGAGAACATGCGAGGGTCGACATGGGCAGGGAGGACTTTGTCGTGCAATAAGAGAGGAAGTAAAGAGGAGCGACGAGACATCGTCGGAAAGACGTAAGAAGATGTGCTTATAGGCTTTTATGAAAGCAGAGGATGATAATAAACACACCAAGCAAGGAAACTGAGGGAGGAGGCGAGAAAGGGAGAACATGCCTGCCGGAAGTCGTCATATGCCTACTCACTCACTCGCGTTCAAGGGAGATCTGAGATCCAATCATTGCAGAGGATGATGATAAACACTGAGCAAAGAAACTCTTGATGCCATCGCTTCGAAGTCAGCATGATCATTAGAAACGGAGAACATGCCTGCCCGAAGTCGTCCAACCCGCCATTGCTTCCTTCTCTTCCTCCGCAACCCCGGCGCCGGGTCACGGGGTTTCCAGGAGCAAAAGGCTGAAGAGGTCGATGCGTGACAGGACATGGCATTTGAACGTACGTTACTCTTAATGACGCTGTCAAGGTTATCAAAGGATGCGTTATCGCACCGTTTGTCGTAATCATTTGTCATCATAATGTAACCTTCACGAATGGACGTACGTACACATTGTTTCGTCCGCCGTGCCGCAATGTAGTAAAGATCCTTTTGCTCCTCTTGCGCCGTTTCAACAGCCTTCCCCACTCTAGCACCTGCCATTGTTCCCCTCCCCCTCCTTCCCTTCTACGTCTCCGTCCACTTCAGCTCCCCTCCTCCCAGGTCTCCCCATACCCTCCCCCTCCATCCCTCTACTCCCCTACGCATCCTGCTCCTGCTCCTGCTGCTGCTCCTTCCTCCTTCTTGCCTCTCCTTCTCTCTCCTCCTCGACTTCTCCGTGCGCTGACTCGTCTCGTGCTCCTCCCTCTCCCTGTCTGCCATTGCCCGCGTTCCTCTCTCCTCCCTCCTCCCCCCATCATCTTCTTCCCTCATGCGATACAGCCTCTTTCACGCCAAGCACTCGCTATCTCCTCCTGAGATCTCTGTTGCTGAGGAGGACCTGCAAGCTGGCTCGATCTTGTCATCGGCCATCCAAGACTCGTCCTCGTCCTCGTCCTCGTCCTCGTCCTCGTCCTCGTCTGTGCCGGGCTCGCCCTCGCGGCTGCAGCAGATCGCTGCGCTGCAAGACGCCATGGACATCATCGTGAACAAGCGGACGTACAGGAACTCGATCGGGGAGGAGGTGCAGATGTGAGGGAGGAGGTATGGGAGTAGAAATGTACATAGGTGGGACGACGATCTCGTCGGCTGGTGCAGAGGCGTCTTTTGGTTTGTTTAGTGAAGGAACTTTACAATTTATATATACATGCTGTTGTTGTTGGAATGAATACACAGGAAACAAACATCATCTCTGAGAAAAAGAATACACCAAAAACTGTCCTCCTTCTAACCCTGCCCTCTGACTCTCCCTGCTCCTGCTCCTGCTCCTGCTCCTGCTCCTCTCATGATTCTCCTCCTCCTCCTCACTCTCCCCTGTGGTTGCGGTACGCAACGTATCGCTTGTGTCCATTGCCCTGCACAGTCCAGACTTTGTACTCTCTCAGGGAGAGCTGCAGCTCACAGACGTGCTGGTCAATCCTCATCCTCCTCGTCTCCTCCGTCCTCAGCTGGACGTTCAGGCAGACGTCACGGTACCCCCCAGAAAGATCCGTTCTGTAGCTCGGGTCGAACCTGTTCTTCACCCGCAGGGTTCTCAGCTCCTCGTCCTCCGCGATCAGCCGCAGGCAGCCCACGATCGCCTCCAGTGAATCGAAGACGATACACTGCCGGACCACGTCGAGCAGGCGAGACGCGCGTCCCTTGTACGACCTGCTGAGCTTTTCGATCGATCGGTCGACGCTCTTCAGCTCTGCCCACTTATACGTGAGCTCCTCCTCCGTATGGCTGTACTTGACCCACACTGGCTCGTTGCTGTCCTCCACGACCTGGACGTAGCCCCCGCACTGCCTTGTCAGGGACTGGACCTTAAGAAGGAAAGGAAGCTCCAAGAGCATCGCCTGGTTGTACAGCTGATCCAGGCACACAATCGCATTTCTTCTCCTCCTCTTCTTCGAGATCCGCAAGAAGCGAGCAAAGACGTCGATGATCCTCGAACCCTCCCTTTTCTCCTCTTCCCGTCCTTCTCCGTTTCCGTGTCCATGACTCTGCTCCTGCTCCTGCTCCTGCTGCTCCTGCAAGATCAAGTCGGTGCGCAAGGAGGGGAAGGAGTCGACGGTGCTGCGGAGGTCCAGGAGGGTCTGGGAGGTCTCGGGCTGCTGCAGGAGACTGGACCAAGTCTCGTCGTACTTGCGAACGTCGTCCCTGATCGCAAGGGAGGAGCGATAGATCGCTATCCTCCTCAGCAGCCACACAGCAACCCACGAGAAGAAGAGGATAGAAGCGGAGAGGGGCACCTCGACTTGGGCCTGGCGGAAGACATACCGGGTATGGAAGTTGAGCCCGAAAACGCACACCAGGAAGTGAAACGGGATGTAAGGCAGGAAGAGCTCCTCCTTGAGCACCAGGATTACGCCCATGGCCAACGACGACAGTCCCAGCGTCATCCAGTACACCATGTTGACCTCCCGCCCCTCCCGAGCAAACATGATCCCAACAAAGATCTCCATCACCCCCGGAGCCCAGAACGCAAGGGAGAACGTCAGGATCCCCGACCTCGTCCTCCCCGCCGCACTCAGCACTGGCCCCAGGATGCATCCTGCAATCATCGGGAGGTAGACGAAGACAGATCCAACCACATGGTACCAGGGGCACTGCAGCTGGACAACATTCTCAGCTGACCTCTCCAAGCTCGTCCCGTACTGCACAGACGAGCTGGGAACGCAGCCCGTCCCCGTCAGGCTCCAAAGGCAATCGGTCCCGACACGAGCTCCCAGCTGTCGGGCGGGACCTGCCTGGCGGAGCTGGAGGAGGAGGAGGAGGAGACGCGGAGCTCGAAGCGGACGGGATCGCCTCCTGCACTGTCCTGGCGGCTGTCAGTGATGAAGTACCAGGAGTTGGCGGTCAGCAGGGAGGGCAGGGAGAAGTAGAAATTCTCCCCGTCCTCCTCCCACTTGGCCTCGTCGCCGACCCTGCACCCGTTCAGCATGAACCCAGCTCTGAGCGTGTAGTTGGACTTCCAGCCCTCCTCCCGCCGCTGCAGGACAGTGAGCTTGGCGAGCTTCACGGAGAACTTATTCCCTCGCGCCACCTCCTGCATCCTCTCGCCGGGACCGAAGACGTAGAGGAGGAAGTAGAGGCCGCACGCGAGGAGCACGAGCTTGAACCAGGGCTTCTGGATCGCCAGGGTGCAGGGGATGGAGGTGAAGAGCACGCTGGAGACTCCAGCTCGCTTCACTGCATGGCGCAGCTCCAGCAGGCGAGCGTCTAGGGTGTCTCCCGCAAACAGGCACTTCTGCCGCAGGTTGTCCTTGAACCTCTTGAGCACTGAGAGGTCGCGGATGGCTGAGCGGTAGAAGGTGTCGAGGGACGTTGCCGCGTCATCACCCTGCCTGAACGCGTCGATGCAGATCCTCGAGAGCCGACGGACACGCTGCTGGTCAACCTTGAGCGCTTGCAGCCGAGGCGTCAGGCGCGCGATCATGGTGCCGACCCTCCTCCTCAGGCTGAACTTGTGCAGGCGGCGGAAGCGATTGATAGCATCGTCCACCACCGGTGCCCCTGCCCCAGCTCCTGCGCCTGCTCCTGCTCCTGCTCCTGCTGCTGCTGCTGCTGTGCCGTCTCCTGCTCCTGCGCCTGCTCCTGCTTCTGCTTCTGCTGTTGTGCCGTCTCCTGCTGCTGCTGCTGCTGCTGCTGCTGCTGCTGCTGCTGCTGCTGCTGCGCTTGATCCTGCTGCTCCCTCCTCCTGCAGCTGCTGTAGCGCGAGCCGAAGTTCGCAGACGAGGGCGAGGGTGCCGAAGAAGCGAGTGTCTGGAGTAACCAGCCGGAGCTTCAGGCAGAGGTCGCGGTACCCTCCTGACCTCTCACTGCTGTAGTTGGGGTCGAACCTGTTCTTTACCCTCACTAGCTTCAGATCATCGTCCTTCCTGATGCTCTCGAAGAAGCTGAGAAGCTCCTCGACCCTCCCCAGCACCACCCGCTGCCTCACCACGTCCAGCAGCCTCGAGACGTCCCCGTCGTAGTTCCAGAGGATCTTCTCCTGGCAGGAGGAGACGCTCTTGACGGGGAGGGGGATGAAGCTGATGGAGGCCCTTGGGTTGCTTTCCTTCCAGCTCGCTACCAGCAGCGCGATCTTCCTCCTGAAGAGCTCGTTGCACGTGACGGCCTGCGCGTACAGCTGGTCGAAGGAAGCGATCGCCTGCTCCGAGGACAAGACGGCAGAGGCGAAGGAGGCGAAGGCGGGGTGAGAGGAGTGGCTGGGGGTGGCGATGTTGGAGAAGTGATGGGGAGGAGAGGAGGAGTCGGCGATACCGACGGACCCGAGCACACTCCCCTCTCCTGCCACCTCCAACATCTCCCGCAACGACACGCGGACCTGAACCAAGGTCCCACCCTTCCTCCGTACAAAGTTGTTGTGCAGCTCAGATAGGGCCAGCAGCGTGCTCTGATCCGTCTCGGCAACAACTGCCTGCCACCTCTCCTCCGACTTGTGAGCGAATCGAGACAACCTCCTCCTCGACTCCCGCTTGAGATGCTCCCGCAGTAGAATCAGAGCAAGAAATACCAGCACCACATATATGTAGCTGGCGTTCCTGTCCAAGAGCCCAACGGAAACGCTCAAGATAATCCCTGAAATCAACCCCAGCTCCAGCACCAACGACTCGTCCAGCAGGAGGGGGCAGGGGAAGACAAAGAGGATCTGAGAGAGTTGTCAGGGGAGCACTTGGAAGGAGAAGAGGGAGGGAGGGATGGGAGGGAGGAAGGGGAGGTTAGGGGAGGGAGGGGAGGTTAGGGAGAGGAGGGAGGGAGGGAGGGGAGGGGAGGGGAGGGGAGGGGAGGGAGGAAGGGAGGGAGGGAGGGATGGGAGGGAGGGAGGGAGGGAGGGAGGGAGGGAGGAGGCTCACAGTTAGAGCCTCGACGAGGTCGGAGGTGGGGGAAGACCAGAGGAGACTTTCGTGCTTGACAGAAAAGGTGATGATGTCAATCAGTGCCGAGACGAAGTAACCCACGCAGAAGATCTACACGAAAATCGATCAATGTCATCGCCTCCAACTTCATCCCCATCCCCATCCCGATCATCATCATCATCGTCTCCATTATCATCACTATCGTCGTTGTCATCATCATCATCATCATCATCATCATCATCGTCATCATCGTCATCATCATCATCACCATCCAAACATGTTCGAACTACAACCTGCACTGATCGCGAGTGCTGGTGGTAGGTGGCAGCAACGATGGCGAGGAGGATGCCAAGAGCCTGGCAGCATCGGACGAGGATGCTGACGTAGAAAGGCCACACGCAGCCCATGGAGCTCCACTCGAACAGAACCAGCTCCTCCTGCTCCAGCGGAGTTCCAAGGGAGGAGTACAGCTCGCTGGGCAGCTGGGGAGAGTCGGAAACGTTGACCACTCTGTTGAGGGAGCAGGTGCCGGAAAACACGAAGACTAGCCAGTGTGTCCCGTCGCTCGAAGACTCTAGAGTGAAGTCGACAGGTGCATGCTCGTCAGTCCAGTTGGAGCCCACCAGGAACCAGCCATCGAACTGCACAGCTTCCCGGAACTCCAGGAGGAGGGAGGAGGAGGAGGAGGAGGAGTAGGTCACGTACGACTGGTTCGCATCCTCCGCGGACGGCTGGTAAGCGCTGGGTAGTCTGCAGCCTTTCGACAAGATCCCAAAGGAGGAGACGCCATGAGAGGAGATCTGGCTTCCTTCTTGCCCATTCCGCAGCCTCCTCGCGGTGAATCGAAAGAAGCGGGAGGGAGGAACGTGGGGCAAGGGCGGGGAAGGGCGCGCCCATACTGCCGTCCTGCTCCAGGGTGCAAGGACGATGATGACAGCGAATAGGAAGAGGAGGAACTGGAACGGCCTCATGGCCAAAAACCACTTGAGCGGGTGGGAGGAGCAGAGGATCTTCATCTTGTCTTTGCCGAGGATCGTTTCCCTCGATGCTACGAGCTCCCTGTGCAGGTGGTAGCCCGGTCTGCTGGCCGTCTCCACGAGGAAGTCGAACCAGCAGCTGGGAAACTCACTGTGAGCATCTTGAACGCGGGTGTCGTCTCGGGAGTCCTGTGAAGAGCCCGCGGTTCGAGCAGGCCCCGGGTGGATGTTTTCTTCCATGGGACTTGGTTTCAATCCGCGGTCCCATGGGACGCGCCTGCTGCTCTCAGTTCCATCTCTACAAGTTCGGCGGCAATCAGAGCAGCAGTATGTCTGTGTTCGTCGTCAGCATCGCCTCCTCCTGCATGCAACGTGAGATGAGATGGCGACTGCTCTGAAGGGGTTGAAAAACGAGCATTATGCGATGACAGCAGGACGAGGATCGAATCTCATGGATTCAAGAGGTGAGGATGGAATTCCATGGATTCAAGAGTGAGAAGTGGTCAGAAGCAAGTCGCAAAGTGAAAAATCTCAGCAGAAGCCATACTAGAGCCAGCACTTCGGCCAATCGAGGATCGTGTGAGTACATAGTCATAGTCATATTCTTCGTCCCTCAGTGTCTGTTCTCCTTCCAGCTCTGCTTGCTATTCCACTAGACCCTTTCCTCACTTGATCCCTCACATTCCAGATCTCGCTATCCTCTTCCCTCTTCCCGCTCCTCCCCATTCCTCTCCATCACTCTCGTGCCCATTCCATTCACAGCCTACCCCGGAACCACCCCCACCCACCCCCCTTAATAGTTGATAAACATAAAATGAACACCTGGGATACAACTACCCCCCTTGCCAAAGAAATTAATCCCCCACCCCTCAAAATATAGTCACATTTAGAATATTTACGTTGGTACTTGCAGGGCACCACCCCACCCCTCTCAATCCACCAACAGTCATTATCGCAAACCGCATCGTTTCATCTCGTACCCCCCTCCCTTATGACATGAAAAAACATTTTTTGCCTACCCCACGCACCCTGACCGAGCGGGACACCACCTGTTACTACCCCTACCCCACATTCTAAAGTTCTTCACCCACCCTTTTTCCCATTGAGATCTTTTAAAAAGATCGGCATTGGTTCTCAAAACAAGTGGGGTGATAAAAAATATCAAGGAAGTGTGGATTTGAAAATGCACGTCCAAATTTCACTGAATTTTTTCATTTATTTCTTTCTAATTTCAAATATTAGATTTCAAATTCGAAACGCTCTCCTTAACTTTGAACTTCAACGGTGGTTCCTCGTAGTGTCAACTTGGTGGTTCCTTGCGGTTCCTTGTCACTAGTGTTTCGGAATTCAACTCCGGGCCGCGTCACGAGCCTCCGGAGTTCAGTGCTCGCACTGAACTCTTTCTCTTCTCGCCGTTTGGCCTGTGCGACAGTGTCAGGGTCAAGCCTCCTCGACTCTCCTGATTGTCCTCGTACTGATTTTTAACTTAACTTTGAGTAAAAAGCTCGGAGTCGGTTGATCGGACCGTACTCCCCGGACTCGCCTTGTCACTTGTCATGCCAGTGAGTCACGTGACGATTCAACGGTCAGGGTTCAACCGTTTCCTTCAACTTGCGGCAGCCTGGTGTGGCCCCCGGGCCCGGCGGCAGCCGGCGGGACGGCGGCGCGGCGGGCCGCGCCGCGCCCGGCCCACTGAGCCCTGCTGGGTTGCCAGGACTGCCGCAGTGCCGTGCAGTGACAGGGCCTGAGCCTCGGAGGGTGATCGGACTCCCGGGAGTCCGGGACAGACTCTGTCACCGGGCCCGGGGGACTCGGAGTCGGAGCCGGCGGCGGATAACGGCAGTGAGTGGCAGTACTGAGTCCAGCGTCTCCCCGTCAGTCTTGCATATCGTTACTTTCATAAAGTCACACTGGCATCGCCTATTGCGAGCATAATACTAACAACTTGAATGAATCCGGCGGGGCTCCTCTCACTCCGTCCCCTCCTCTCCTCTCTCTGCGCGGCTCCTGTGAAGGCTGCCTGTCCTGTCCTATCCTGACCTGTCCGATCCCGACTGAGTCCTGCCCTCAGGGCCTCTCCTATCCTCCTTTGCTCCACGGAACTGGATCGCGATCGCATCTCCTCCTTGTCGGATGCCAGCTTCCAGCTGATCTATCGGATGCAGCTTCCAGCTGATCTCCTTCACTCAATTTGTCTTGCCCTGCCCGCTGCCTGCCGGATTTGAACTCTGCGAGGAACCTGTCAGGCAGAGATGGCGAGCTTTCCCCTTGTATTCCAACTGCCTCCAACTGCCATTCTGCCTCCTCCTCCTCCTCCTCCTCCTCCTCCTCCTCCTCCTCCTCCTCCTCCTCCTCTCCTTCCCGTTCTCAAGCCCTTACAGTCAATTACCTTAGAGACCATCTGAACGATATAGGACAAGTCCCGAACAAACTCTTGAATCATTTTCAACTGCTCCGCGGTGTCTGCAGACAAGAGCGTTAGGGATCTGACCGTTCTGGAACTCAAGTCAGTCAGAACATCTCGACGACTGCTCTTGTCCGAGTCAGGCAAAGGGAAAGTGTTCCAGCGGGAGTCACAGTATCTTCATACCCGAAGTGAACACTTGTTTCATCTTCGACTTGGATCGAGCCCTCTCGTACAAGTTGTTGATCACCATCAAGCATTTGCCGTACTCCAGCACTCGCTCAGCTCCTTCCTCTAACATCCTCTCCCGTGAGCTGCCACAGGCTTGATCATAAATCGATCTCCTCCTCCTCCTCCTCCTCCTCCTCCTCCTCCTCCACTCCCCCCAACCCTCGTCATGCCCTCCTTCGTCGATATCGTCCTCCTCCTCCCATGTGCCTCGCCTTCTCTTCACCCTCCCTCTCCCTTTCGTCCTCCCTTTGTCCATCGTGCTTCACCCCCTCCCCTCTTCCCCTCCTCCTCCCTTCGTCACCTTCCAGCCACCAGCGAGTCGAGTTGGTACTCCTCCAACGTCTTCTGCAGCATTGCGATCTCGTTGTGGCCCTTGAGCTTCGTGTCCTGCCCCTCCTTCATGTACGCCTGCAGCTCGTTCCTGTAATCGTCGTTCAAGGACACCACCTTGGCCGCCCTGTCCTGCAGGTCCTTGTGGTGCGCCTTGAGGGTTTCATAGCGCTTCAACAGATCCCCTATCTCGTTAAAATCGTCGGACTGCTCCAGGACAGAGAGGAGGTACTTTCGTACACGAGGTTCTTGTCCAGGATCGCCTTCATTTCGTCCTTGACCTTGGACAGCTCGTCCATCTGCATGCTCAGCTCCTGGATCTCTTTCTCCTTCTGCTCCCTCATCTTTATCTCCTCCGTCGCTTTCTTCTCCGCCCTCGTCAGCTTAGAGTCGTTCTCCTGCAGGAACTTGTTGAAGCGGATCAGAGATTGCTGCAGCTCGAGATCCTGCTTCCTCAGCTGCTCCTCCCTCCTCTTGAACAGCTCCTCCCTCCTCGCAAACTCCTCCTTCTGAGTCTCAAGCGCTTCCTGCATGAAGTGGGTCAGGAAGGAGCGAGGACGACCGGCGAGTTTCATCTCAACAGGAGCACGTCAGGGCATGATACGATGTCGCACCTGCACTTCGAACATCTGTCTCCTCTTCTCCAGCAATCTTGTCGCAGGAGACACGTCCTCTAAGTTCATCTGTTGGACAGCCCCAGCCATTTGCGCTGTCAGATCTTCCATTGTTGGGAGCAGAGCAGAGGAGTTGTCAGGATGTCTCTCTCCCGTTTCTTGTTCTGCAACCTGACAAAATTCGCTCGTCACGTCATGATGTGAGGAAGTCATGATGTGAGGAATCTGACAAGGGCAACACAGGAGCGCTACTGAAAGCATTACAACTGCAAGTTGCGAGCAAAACAAGTATTTCTAGACTCCAGTCATGGAGTCAAACTCTCTGGTAAACCAAATCATGTGCTACGTGGGTTCAGTTCTCGTCACATACCCTCCTCTCCCCTCCCCCCC